GAATGAAAATTTTGCCGCGTGGAATGATGGCGGAAAGGTTTAGGTTTTTTGTTTGTTAATTAAATTGATTTAATTCCAAATGCTAGCATTAGCCAATCTCTCTGTTTAAGAATAAAGGAGACCTTAAATCGATACAGTTAGTTAGTTAAAACTATTTGCTTTAGAAGGTCATAACTTTCAAAAAATGAGAATAAAAAGAAACACTTTTTTTAATTATCATTTTTTTTGCACATGCATGCTAAAGTAACGTCGTTTCAGCGATTTTTATAGTGTTTCGTTTATTTTTAGTTTTTGGTTTATTTGTACACCAGACATATTGTAGTACTTTATACTATACACTCCTTGCTTATATTTATGTGCAATCGGTAACTGATTGAATGACAAAGATCGCTGTTAGCAATATTAAATTAGCAACAATAATAAGTTAAATTTTTAATGTCTATTTCAATGTCGTTACAGTAATATCCTCCTTCCTTTTTCAATGACGGCCGTTTTAGTCTGTTTTATTAATTAGTTAGAGTAAACCTTAATAATGTTTGTAACATTAGGTACTTCGCAGATATCTAGCACATATAAATATAATAATATAAAGATGAACTGTTTGTTGATTAATTATTGTTGAGATAAAGGTTAACAGTCCGTTAACAATTCAAATTCGCTTCTCATGTGATGTTTTCACAATTGTTGTTGTTGTTGATGTATAAAACAGTTTGAAAGGAGCGGATAACGTCATAACGTTGTTCAAAATTTTGATCCTACTTGAATTAAAATGTTATACTCAGGTACCAAGTTATCATTCATTCGTGAAGTTACTAGAAGAACTCCCGGATGAGTGTTTAACGAAAATGCCTAGTAGATTTATATACTGACGGTTTAGTACGAACTACTGTGGAGAGGAACTGAGTAATTTAGTAATTGTATCCACTAACAACGAATTAAATAGTAATCAATAGAACTGGGGCTACGGCACAATCCTCAAGGAACATTTAATGTACACGGCACGGTAGCGACACGACTACTTTAAGGAAGATTTAGAAGATGCGGATACGGAAGATTAATTTCAATGTAGAAGATCGGATAATTCAAATTTAGAAGATACGGAATATTTAAATGTAGAAGATACGGATTATTCAAATGTAGAAGATACGGACAATTCAAATGTTAGAATTCGTAGTTCTAAAGCGTTGCACAAGTATAAATAACAGGTAAAGCTTTGACCTTTTAAGCTTCTTCCTTAAGTTACTTTTACAGCTTTGACGTCAAAACAATAACAAAAAAATAATAATTCTCGTTAAAACAATATAACACCTACGTTTAAGAGATGTTTAGTAAATGAACCTGTAGCTCTTAATTAATGGATTCCCTTGGATGTACATGAAGTGGAAATAAGTTTTCAATTAAACATTCAATTAAAATAAGATAAAAATTGAACAGTAGTTTTTTCAAATAGAGTTTTTTATCTAATAAAAACTGATGTTTTATTACAAAAAATGCTTACGTATAATAATTTAAGAAAAAGGGTGTCAATTACGAATATCTGAGAGTGTAAAAGCAACAGATGGATTTGCGAGGCTATTGTTTTAAATGGGCACTTACACTAGAAGTTTCCAGCCTAATTTCGCGTGTTCAGGTTTATGTTGCCCTCAGTAGATGTATTGTCATACCTTCGGCTTTACGTAACTCTGCGGTACACTGACTTTCCACGTCTCTTACTAGCTGGTTTAAACTTGTTTAAATAGTCACCTAGCTTAAATGTAATTTTCTCCGAGTTATTTTAATATTGTTAACTAAATCCAGTCCTAGTAAATATCAGTTACATAAGGGATAAACAATTGAATCTGGTCGTGTTGGACCCGAGATGAGTTGAATTAATAGATATTGTATGTACGGGGAGCTGCTTTTGGTAGCAGACTCATACTCTTTGTTAATAGTAAAATTTCTTGTAGGCTGCAAAGGATATCAGCTGCTAACCAGTATAAGACCTGTTGTGTTGTATTTCAATAGTAATTTCATAAGCCCATGTTTACGACTTTTAATTGACAGCTCTGTAATATGTTCTTTATTTATAACTAGTGAAGTTAATGTTTGCAGGCAGTGGCAACTTCACACCGTGTGCACGAAGAATATTATATATTTTCCATACACTGAGATAAACGTTTTTTAGGTACCTTAAACTAAAAGAAAAACTTCAATAAATGAAATAATTTAGTTTTTTTTTTCAAAATCAACTTGGCACAGTTCTATGTGGTAGCTGTAATAGAATATGGTATTAATGCTATTTGAAATTCAAACGAGACTGCGCTGTGTGGTTAAGTACTTGTTATATAGTTCAGACCTTCAAAAACGAAGACGATTCTAAATTTTATTTGCTAATAACATAAAAAACGATTATCCATTAACAGTGGATCGAGTTGTTCAGAAATAGCAAGGAATCGATGGACTCATTACGAGACAATTAACTGAGTAGGTTGCGCCAGTACGTGGGCTTAGACGGGCATTAACTAAGTATTTTTATTAAAAGCAGCTAAGAAGCTTATTGTGAAATTGTTCAGATACTGAATTAAAAGTAATGTTTTTTTTACATACACTTACATTCACATGTCTTTAGCCCGAAGAGATAGACAGAGACGTTTAAAACACCTCCATTTTGCCGACAATAATTTTAGTAGTTACGTAATAGGTCAATGGCTATTGCCGAATCGTCCGTGTGGTGACGATTAAGAATACGGAGGGGCACCACCCCTATTCATCCCTTGGGTGTCGTAAGAGCGGACTAAGAGAAATAATCTACGCAGGACAACAGACCTGCAAAGAGAAGGGAAACTTGAAACAAACCCTATACCAACCCGGCTGGCCAGTGTGGTATAGTAGGCCAAAACCTCGTTTCTAAGGGGAGGCCTATGTCCAGCAATGGACAATGGCTGTTGATGATGATGTTGCTATATTGTCGTGAGCCGGGCTTTTTAGCGGGTAGATAGGGGAAATTCACATTACTTATAATCAAAGGAAAGGTAGATAAGAGACGCAGGTAAATGTAGAAATGGGCAATAATATGGATTATACGAATGGTTTAGGGAGTTTAAAATCAGCTGCAAAGTAAGCGCCTTCTAACCGAGACTTTTTTTAAATGGTGTGTAACGTTGCTGTCATCAATAGATATATGTCATTATAAATAAATTTTTGAGCTAATATAATATAATAATACTTAATATTTGTTAATACTACGGTAAAAGTAACACTGATCTCGTAGGCACCGAATTAGCAACATTTTTTAAAGAAATAGGGAGTAGAAAGTTTTCTTCTACGAAGACGCCACATATAACATTAAAAAAAAAAAATATCTTGTTCCCACATATTCTAAGATACAACAATCTTTATCTGGTTGTTTCTAAAACCGATGTTGCAAGGAAAAAAATGGCCTTAGTGGCAAGCAAGAAAGTCGTTATAAAAACTAGCAATATCAGTATAACAGATAGTTAACTAAATAATTAATTGAATAGCGACACAAATAGCAGAATTTTGCAGAACAGAATTCTAATTCTATTCTGGTACAATAATGCGACGTACCTAATATATTTTTACTAAGTAGCACTTTAAGATAAAAATACCCAGTCAAGGTATCTAAACTTGCAATAGGTCAAGTGTTCAACTCGTACATATAAAAATCATTCGTTCAGTCGTTCTAAAAGTGAATGAAATGGGCCAATAAAAATAACTTTGTCTTAAATAAATTGGCATCGTCTGCTTGGGCGGATAGCGGAATTAGTTTCAATTAACTTGTGTGTTAAAGAGTACTTTGTACTAAATGCTATCGGATTAAAGAGGTCTACTACTTATTAAAAGTTCTAATCCTGTGAGAGATGGGGTTGCACTGGAAGGATTTTTAATATAATAATATTAAATATCTTTTCTCGCTTAGAGATGTCCCAGTGTTAAATATGGACTCTCCTGTAGATTTCACAATCAGAGCAGCGAATGCTATCTGTCAAACTGCTTTTAAAAAATCTAGCAGACAGTTTAAAGACCTTGGAGGTGAGCTCAGGACTTAAGCGTTTTATTAAAATGTTCGCGTGTTAAGTACTATAAATTCTACAATACTTATTAATAGATTCTTTACCTAATAGTATTTATGCAAGTGCAAGTCTGACATTTTGTTAAGGGTCAAAGGCAACACACTAACATTAATATACTAAATGAATACTCGGTATAAATAGTTACAGGTTTATCGATACATAATTAGGAGAACGAAAAGGTAGTAGATGATCATGGCTTAGGCGGTAAGGTGAGTTACTTTCTAAATAATCTACTTGATTTACATCAACATTACCGTATCGTTATTGAGAAAATCATGTTTAATCGCTCCGTTGAACATATAATTAGATTTGTTCAAGTTAAAAAAACAAATTAAACAAACCTTTTTTTGAAACGCAACCAAATTAACTTTACAATGATCTGATAAGATCGCGGAGTGGCGGCTCGCCTACACAGAACGAAGTTGAGCGACAAACGCGGACGGGACTACTTTGAACTAATCAACTTAACTGGACTGTCACCGAACGCACTCCGAACTTCTAAACAGAGGACGGACAGTCTACAACAACTCTTTATAGTATTAGGTAAAATAACTCCTAGGACACTGTTAGACTTTGCCGAGCTAATGGATCGCCTCCATGCTTAGAACGTGAAACTTTTATGCATAAGCAGAATCGAGTTAGAAGTTGAGTTGAAAATAGCGTTTAAGTTGCGGGTTAGTTCTGCTTTTGTGGTTGAAATAGTAAACGACATTTTGTCAAAATGAATTTGCTATTAAGTTACAATGCTTTATTAACTTCATAATATGCTACCAATATACGTACACGAGAAATTGTTTAGCCTGACTGTAGTACAATTTTGCTCTGACTCCTGCTCAATTTTATATGAACACTTCTATGAATTTACTTAATACTCGTAAACGTATAAGTTTTGTCAAATAAGCTACGAAAAAGTAGGTAAGCACTTACTTGGTGAATCAGCAAGTAGGTCACTGTCATCGTGTGAGGGTGACTTCACAGATCCAGGTGACATTTTTACAGGAGCATGGGGCGATGAGATTGGTCCGGATCCGGCACTGCCTGCGCTGCTAGCTGGTCCAGCGTTAGCATTGTGAGACGTTGTGATTGTTATTTCACCATTCGACGATGCAAGCCTGAATAACATACATACGTGATACATTATTATGACGTCATTGAAATGGTGAGAGAATGTATAGTAGAACTTGACTTGTAATGAACGTATTTCATAGTCATATACTCGTATATATGTATAATTTATAGTTTAACTACACAAGTATTTTAAATTTTTTATATTTTTGGATAATCCGGAAAGAAATTATTTTTAAGCAAATGTCTATTACGGAGGAGAAAGTTTCATTTATTAATCTCCATTTATGGAGTCATATACTGTAAGTTTTTTTTGTATGTATCGAATCAGATTTGAAACTAGTCGCAACCTAGAGTGAGGAGTTCACCGTGACGGAAGGTAATTTTAACATTCGACGTAGCGATGCCGCACTGTAACCTTAGTTAAGGTAATCTTAGACAAATGCTTTATAAAGTTAATTAGATGTTGGTATTTTATCTTAGATACATTTAAATAAATAAAGAAGTGCCTATTCAAATTGTGTTACTGTGAATACGTGGGTGCGTTGTAATTTGAACGTTATTATTTTACGTGTTTGTTTTATTTCATTTGTGAAACTTAGTTTTATACGTCAGGATAAACAAATAATAGTCAGTAAGTATAATTTATATTTCTAACAATAATTTATGTTTCAAAGGATTATATGATATATTTATGTTTGAACCAATTTTTTGATACAATATGAATGCAATCAACTTGCATTACTGTATGCATTTTAAATATACTGTGTACTAAATGAAAAATGATTTTAGTGAAGATAAGCTATAATATTACTAAAATTCCACCTTGTAAGCTGTAAATTCCAAAAACGTTGACGTCAAAAAATAGTATCATAACACTTACTGGTTATAAAATCCTGTCTTTGATTTCAATTTAGACAATAATTCAAATGTAATGACACAAGATACAATACGATTATGTCAATGGTTCACTGTCACCACGAACAAAAGAAACTAATTCGGCTCAATCACTCTCGGTGAGAGCTCGGATTGGCCTAATGATTTCATGACTGCTGATTAGACGATTTAATGTTAAATTTAATCTAAGACTTATTTAATGAAGATCCACATTTTATTTTTTTACATACATACCGACCCGTGTGGTGGTGGTATAGTAGGTCAAATACCTCCTTTTTTAAGAGAGGCCTATGTCCAGCAGTGGACTGTCAAAGGCTGTTGATGTCGGTGAACCGTTAAAAAAGGAGGCGGTTCTTAATTCGGTTGCATTTTATCTTTGTTACCCCAGACGTTCGTCTTTTGTGAACCTGTTTCGTCTTTTTTAAGCGGGTGGAATAATGGCAGAAGCAATAAAAATCGTTACTACTTTACTACGGAAGAGTCAGGCATATATAACTAAGATTCGTAATGCATTAAGTGCTTTAGAGTTATCAAGATCGTCTATTCAGTAAATTTGTGCACGTATATTGTTTCGTAATGTGTATAAAAACATCGAACAAGTGTTGTGTGTAAAACGAAGTGGTTGTGTCGTACACAATGGTGTTCGCGAGTGTCTCTCGCAAGTGCAACGCGGTGTACAAATGAGGTGCGCGCTTCATTAAGTGCGCGCGGCATTAGCGGTAATTGCCGGCTAATTAGGGCCTCATCCGTTGCAACATACGCACACAGTCACAATCTCATTGTACCAACAGAGCTGATACGGTGTAACGATGACTCGTTTTAATATCTTATTAGGTTTAAACGTGACTTTAGATACATAAACATTTTCAGTTTTATTGTAATTTTGTAGCGTGCACTTTATTAACTCATATAGTTGTGTTGAATTCTAACCAACATCTTTTAGTACTATAAAATAAATAAATTACTATTTTTTACTAGCTTTACCCTGCCACACTTCACTGTAGCACATTATGGTTGCTATAAATAGATATAAAAAAATTGATGCGTGTTATACCAGTATATCGTGTCAAAATTTGAGATTAATCAAACCAAATTAACACTTATTTTTTACTACTACATTACTATCTATTTTAATTCAATTATGTACCTACCTACCTTACACAGAATAGGAGCGATCACCGGGTGGGACGTGAATGATGGACGGACGGCGAATAAGTACACACTTATTCTACTTTATTTTCGCGAAGTGTAATTATAGGCCAAAAGAAATGATCACATTTATTTACCTTTTCTTGCTGCGTCAATTAATATGTAAATTAAACTAGCACCCTTGCTACGATATATTGCACGCATATGTAGTGGAACGATTATAACACGCTCACACACACAACAATACGAGTTTGTACAAACGCAAACATCTTTATTGTACAAACACATACGAGTACTACGCACACTTACAAACAAGTCATTAATTGTTCCTTCAAATTTATCAGAGGTACTCTGACATCGTAACTACGTCTTTTCAAGATAATTGTTTAAAAAATAATAATCACCCGGTTACAAATTTTACAATCTTATTTTGTTGTCATTCGCATGTGACCTTTTACTTTTGTTAAAAGGGTGATCTCGATAATTGGTTCTTATTTTAATTAAAGCTTTTTAATTAAAGTTTTACGAATATAAAATGATCGATCATTTTTATTCTTATGGATTTGAATAAGAATAATTAAAATTATAATGACAAAGTTAGAGGTCAATTAAATTTATTTATTAAGTGGAATTGTTTCACATGTTTGTAATGAAGTAATGTCACCTTTAGACAGTAGGTGCAGCGTATTTTTAATGTTACGCATACAGTAGGTTCCTTCTATTTTAAGAGATTTACCGAATGAGTAAATAAATGACTTTGGAGTAGTACACAAACCATCTATTTCTATTTAAATTTAATTTCGTTCAATACCGTGATTTGCTGCTGCTTGTTTGATACGTAGGTAGGTACAAAATTGTCGGCATCTTTACAATTTTTCGTAGACAAAGTGAGGGATAAGTATTATAAGAAAATAATAGTAATTAAAACAATATAAAGTGAGTCAAAAAATGCATTTAATTTACGGAGGTTGTTTTTGTATGAAAAATAATTTTAAGATTGTGCTTGTTTATAGTTTCTATGTCTAAGTTATTGTTCTTTAGGCATGTAATTTTTCTATTGTTATTCTGTAATATCTTCTTCAAAACAGCCTTTCAACATTTAAAAAGAAATGATTTAATCCGAAAGCTGCTGAAAGAAACAATGTTAACCCAAAGGTATGAAAAAGATTACAAATATTTTATTAAAGCGAATCATTAATATATTTAAATCGTTTTTTAAATGAAATAGACTACACCCTGAGTAGAAGAAATTGCCATTGCATAACTGGTATGATTCAGGCATATTCACAGCGATAATTAATGTAAGATAAAGGTTCTGTTTTAATATTCTGATGACACCTGTGACTTTTTTAATTGTCTCTTCCCATATACAGGCCTAATTAAATGTGTGGCTGGAGGGGTTGTCGTGTTAATTTGTACCGTTAATATTCACATATATTACTTATTCCTTTCTAAGGAGAGGCCTATGTCCAGCAGTGGAACCTATTCAAAACTCTTCACTTTACTCCGTTATACATCTCTTTTGTGTCTGATATCACTATATGACATTTCGTTGGTGCCTATCAAAGTTTAAGTGGCGTTGAAAATAACGGGACATTCAGTTTTGAAAACAAATAATAATTAAACAAAAAATTTGGTAATAAAGCGAAAGTGTGGAAATAAGTGGGGGAATATCTCAGCAGTAGGCAAAGTTATTATTGTTAATTTATATACATATATACAAAATTGTTTAACTGAATCAAGGATTAATGCCGGGCAAACGTGGGTAATAAAGCCTCCTTGTAAAATGTGGGTTTTCGGTTCGAAGACAATGAAAGAGTCTACACCTAACACGTGTTACAAAAATAATGAAGCCAACATGTTAGACAGTTTACCCTATAAAAATAGAAGTTACCTTTGATCATATTATTTTTAACTACATTCTAAATAATTGAACGCTGTATCAAAGTGGTAGTGCGGAGTTAGAAACAAAATCTACTAGGTACCTACTTCAAAATAAAAATTGCGATAAGTCATGTGGCGGTGGAGACGGCCTGCGATCTGATAAAAACAATGTTTCAGTCTTTATTTTATTTGGTATCGCAACGGATTTTGTATCACGAATTACAACGCATTCTTCGTTCATTCATACTCCTATGCGAGAATTTCAATTTATGTATCTTCGAAAGTAATTTAAATTATAAAATCTACTCTACTAATGGCTCTATTTCAAATACACTTTAGTCTGCATAAATATTACCGTTTATATTAACAATGATTTCAATAAGCCAATTAATACATTATTAATAATGTAGTTATTGCACGATTTTCAACTTTGATCAACAGGAAATTTACTGATCACATAACCTTTTCATATCGTAGATTATTAAAACATGTCCATATGTGATTAGTGACAAAAGGTACTATTAACTATAGTGACATTTATATGAGTACGTTTTCTTTGTTGAAAAATCGAATAAGACAAAAACCTATCAAATGCGACACGGGTAACGGACAAAAATATATACACATAAAACATAAATAGCAATCAGCTCTCTTTGTGGTTTTCGTTTATAGAAATGAATGAATACTTACAGTAGGCATGATGGTTAGGAATGTGTTTGTTTGTTTTTACGTTTTTACGCATTTGTAGTCAACCGATAATCACGTAACTCACCACATATATATTCTGTTCAGGTGTACAGAAAAGGAGATATATGGTATAGTATATGAGTGGGTGCCTACGCAGGACAACAACACTGTAAAGAGGAAAACTTGACGCAAATCCTATACCAACCCGTCTATCCCAGGAGAGGCCCGTGTCCAGCAGTGGATATAAGGAAAAAAGGGAGCGAGACCGAGAAATGTGTAACAAGACATTTTTCTGACACTTGTTGACGCGTCGTCACATCTTTTTCATATTTCATATATATAACAAATGTCTGCCAAAAATCGATAGGAACTTCGTTCCGATCTGGGGTCCATAGACCCTCACGCTGATTTGTTCATGTTGGAGGAGGCAAACGAGCTGACGGGTCACCTGATGGTAAGTGACTACCTCCGCCCATGGACACCTGCAACGCAAGAGTCACAAGTGTGTTGCCCCCCATTCAGACCCTCCCCCCATACGCATTGTCAGGGGAACGGTGGGAGCTCTGGTAATCTAACTGTGAGGCCGTGGCTCTCGCAAGACCTTTTCCCGAGGGATAGGAATATATATATAAATGTTAATTCTTACAAATATATATAATCAAGATTGTTAAGCTTCCATAAGACAATTATTTATAAGGAAAATTAAATCATTTATAAACAAAGTCCTATTTAACATGAATGTAAAATGGCCTTGAAAACAAGATATACAATAAAACTCCATATAAATCGTTCATCTATACAATGATTTACAATTTTAATGTAACTTTAATAGACATCAAACGACTTATAATATTTATCTAGATTGTAGGCCAACAGAAATGAGGTATTAAACTTAATTATGGATGCGAGAATTAATGCTCCCAACCAGTAATTATGAGGTGGCATTAACTTAATGTCTTTGACTGTACACAGAGTACTCACACAGACATAATTATATACGGTATTACATTAGTTTGAGAATGTTGAATCATTTTTAGTGTTCTATAGGACAATGTAACACAAGAATTGCAGTTCCATTCACAAATGTAATTTATTCAGAGATTTTTTGTTCAAACATTTTTCCCAAATTTTACGATAATTTCAACAGGATTGATATGTTATTTCCTGACAATTATAATGTCTCTTTAATATTCTAGTAATCTACTTACCTAGCTTGACAATTCTTATCTATCTTTGTTTTAGAATTATACTCGTATGTAAAATAGTGTACATTAGATAGTTATCTTGATATTTGGACGTGTATAGTGTCGTATTAAATCTTATTTCACTTAGATTAAATCTAATTTAAAACAATAATGTAAATAGGTTTATTTAACTGTCATTGTTTATTCAAGAAGTTTACATCAGAGGTAAGGAGCCTGAAACATGTCCTAATGCCCAGGACGCATGAAAATTAAAATAGCAAAGCTTTGTTATCGATCGATCGTGGAACAGTCGTTATAAGAGGTGATATATTCTAAGCATCTATCAATTTACTATATATAACCTATCACGTACTGTACTAACCCAATTTGCGTTGTTTTGCTCTGTTCTAATTGATGTTGTGCTGACATTAAAAGTGCTTGTAACACAGGATAGAAGATTGTATTTTCTTGTTTAATTTTTCTAATTTTATTGAATTATCCCCAGAGACGTTGAACTAATATACTTCAATATAATTAGGTACGGTTACCATTAAGTATTCCTGCCTATAATTACCAGTGCGCTCGTGACGCCTCTAATCCGCCAAGTAATGGTGATAAATAGATCCTATGCGGGGATATCGCATTGAATATATTAGCGTTTAGTGGATTACTCAGTGTACTATGTGGAGTGAGGAAATGTGTAGAGAAAGTGTTTTATATCGTTGTTGTTTGCTGTTAGTAACTAATGGGGTATACTATATGTCTGTCAGGTTAAATCGTTGAATGAATATTATTATTAATCGTCAATACGATAAACGCGGTACATCCATACTCGTACTAATATAACAAATGCGAATGTGTGTCTGTCTGACTGTTTGTCACCTCTTCACGCTTAAACCGCTGAAACGATTTACATGTAATTTGGTATAGAGATATTTGAGTCCCAAGAAAGGATATAGGAAAGGTTTTTTTCCCAGAAATCAACCTCTAAGGGGCTGAAAAGGGGGATGAAAGTTTGTATAGGGAATCAATAACCGCTGAACCGTACACAGGTTACCCGCTAGGTATTACGTTGGACCAATACTATAGGGAATTTATGTAAATAAGTCCTATGTGTAATTCACGTCTGTCAGCTCGAGGTTAATCGATTCTCCTTCAGTTTCCAGCGCAACCATTTATTACATATGTATGTTCTAACGAAAAAGGAGTATACCTAATAGTTTTTACTTGACTTATATTAAAATTAGTCAGCATAACCTACATTATAACTTTTTCCAACTGGCAGTGTGTCCATTAAGATTAACTACATATATGTACATGTTTCTAATTATGACATAAAACCAAACGCAACAAAGCACAACAATTTTTAACTCAACTAAGATAAAACTATTTTTGTAATATTTTTCCGCACTGCCAACACCAGAAAATTGTTTATAAAGTGCGTGAACATGGCATTATTTATGTAATTATATCGGCAGCTACGAGTTACATTACATCCTGTACATAATTAACATTAAATACCTCATTAAATAGATAATAGTCAGATGGGTGCCTCAGTTTTCCTTATTACTTGTAGGAACACGTAACATGTACTAGGTTATATGGCTAGACCTGTTGCGTCTTAGATTATCATTAAGTTGGTAAAAAAACACATTTTATGTCTGATGGTAAGCGGTTGCCGTCGTTTGTGATATACCATAACACTATGGGGTGGATGAATTGGCAATTATATTCCGTTTTATGTGGGTCACCGGCAAGTCTGGCAACCCTAAATATTACGCTCGTAGTAGGGACAAGTTAGTGAACACAAAATTGCATTTATCATTATAAAGTTGAAGAGTTTAAAGATGTTGTCTTAAAACTAGAAGTCCGATTTCAATAATTAATGTTGATGCAAATATTGTTGTAATGTAATGAAGTTAACTACTGGTTTGGATTGAAAAGTTCTTTAAATTTCGGATAGCCTATTTATCGGGGAAGGTTATAGGCTACGGTCAAAAGGAGTCAAGCATCAATAAGAAGTGTTGCGAAAACGGGGAAAATAAATTCGTTTCGGAGACTCAGCCGAAGTTGCGCGGGTCAGGTAGTGCCATGTACCTATTTTGACGCTACGACTTACAGCATTGGAGCCGTAATAAATAGAAGTAGAAAAATAGGTTGTTTATTGTTGATATGTAAAATAAGTCGGTCGACCAGACAATGAACGGTTAAGATTCTAACTGTTTGGTTTCAGTTAAACTATTACAAAGATCGGCAATCTTTACTACAAAAGGAAGTACTTTCACGTACCCTTCATTTACTTCTGCATTTTACAACCAGGAATTATAGCACACAGTAATGTTGTTTAAAAAGATATATTTCATTTAATAAAACTTTTAATACACTATTGTTTGATACGTAACGTTTCCACACATCGTATGCACTTAGTGCATAATTACGTGTAATAAAGGACATTACCCTCAGCTGATAGCATCTTTTTACAACTTTTTGTGTTAACAATAATATTTGCGTGATACCCTCACGTGATGCGCATTAGTCATCATATTAATTAACATACGTATGTACTAATTAAAAAAATAGACGTGAATTCAGTTTAAATGATAACGCAATTATGTGTTCTATGAAAACGAAACCTGTTGGGGTTATTTTCATAATTTCATGTAATTTGAAGTTATTTTTTTTAATTTGGTGTTATACCGTAATGTCTCCCTAAACGGTAAATTAACTTTGGTAAAATAAATGTTTGAAAATTGCCACGTAACACGTAGCTGAAAGATTTTAAAATGCTGATAGCATGTATATTATTTGTCTAATTAACAAATTTTTCATTAAAAGTAAACAGTAAGTTGTGAATTTAAAAGAATCACTTATCTACCATTTTTATTTATTTCTATCTTTTTAAAGTTTCTAGTTTTCTTGGTTTTAGAATATACGAATTTGGAAGCCGTATTTACTTTACAAATGTGTTTTCGTCAAGCAATCGATTACATTACAGATCGATTAAAATTCTTTATTCAATTATTTAAAATACCAAATCGCTGGGACATGTGAATCAGTCTAAATTGGAGATACTATCAAAATATTTCAGATTTTATTCCTTTTTTGTTATATTTAAATCGTACTTTAACGCAGTGAGGGAATCGTTGACAAAAACTGGATCCCAATTGTGTGTAACTGATATCATCTCCAACAATATTCATAATCTGGAATTATGGCCTGAATACAGAGATGCTTTAATCAATCAATAGATAGATATTTAGGAATTCAATTTTAGCTATTTCTTTAATCATACGTAATATGATTGTTTACCTTTAAACTTTTTCGTATTAAAGATTTTATTTTTTCTGTTAGATTTCTCTTTTATACTGAACATACAGATTATTATATGACTAATACAATTTTTCTTGATCGTATGGTAGAATAATTTGAAAATCAAGGTATTAATGTTGATAAATTAAAAAAAAATGAAGGAGTTTTGAAGTAATTAACAGAAAAAATTCAACCGGATTGAGAAATTCTTACTTTTTCTAAGTCGATTAAAAACTTAACAGTATCAAAAACGAATTCAAAAATGGATTTTACATGAAAAAGATCTAACACAACAAAACGTTAATTAGTAATTCACTCACACGCGTACAAGATCTGTGTAGTGGCGGCACAGTAATTACATTCATTGTCGCGTAATTACTGGCAACACTTGTCATTGCACCCACGCTATAAATCATCCACCTGCACATCACATCAACCCTCTACCCCTCGTTATAAAGAGTAGTTTTGCTTGACAAGCTACAACAAAAGTTGCTTTCCTACACTAAACATTGTCAGACTTAGACAATTGTTAAGTAATTCATTTTTTAAATAAATATGACACATGATATAGACGGAAAAATAACGTAGTGAGGTAGAAAATAAATAATAAATCTAACCCAACTTACCTGTTGATGTTGTTCATTGATACTGATCCAACATTTTCCCTCTCGCTTCTTTCTCTTGATCCTCCAGCGAACCTCTCAAAGTTTTCTCTTTCTTTATAATGTCTTTCGGGACGTGGCGACGAGGACCGTCTCCCTGGCATTTGCTGTGGCATACTGTTCTGCTGTACTGTCTGCAGAAGGTTATGGTTTGCCTGTGGTTGTTGCTGCAACGCTTGGAGTAATTCTTGGGCGTTAGTTGCACCGTTCGACAAAAAATTTGGCAAGCCTTGATTTAGAAGAGCATTCGATAATGTTGGATTTAACATGTTCGGCCGAATGTTGGAAGTCTGTTGTGGGTTAGAGTTCAGCAGCTGATGAGGTTGGGCCATTGCTTGGAGGTTGGCTAAGGACGTGGAGACGACTTGGCCGTTGTTTAGAGCTAGGTTTACCATTTGGTCGTTAGAGTTTACATGATTGACTGGTATTGTGAGGATTGTCTGCGTAGCTATGCCTGTTGGAAGAAAAACGATACTTTTCACTAATATGCATTTAAATGTTATATTAAGGGTTGTACACACTGGAGTTATACAATAATCTATCGATGTATAAAATGATACTTTACTGCTTTAATTTTAATTTAACTTTATAATGATTATAGAAAGTTTAACAATTAAAAATTGTAATAATATATAATTTACAATATTACACTGAGTGATCAACAAATTATTACTAGTTCATTATATTACGTAAGTAATATTAGTTAATTCACTACCTTGAGATGTAGGTATGAGAAGCTGAGCGCCTTGAATGCCCTGCACTAGCTGTCCTGATGCTAAAATGAGCTGCGGCATCGGGGACGGCATCGATGGTGGTAGCATATTGTTGTTGGCCACCGGATTCGGAGAACCCATACCTAAGAATCAAAAATAGAAATTATAAAATAAGAATGAATGTATTACATGTTCGACACGTGTGTGACTGTTCCTCGAGTGAATCGATTCGAATACCATACGATTATCGATGTATAGTGAAAATCTAGTTATCGACTCTGCAATAATTAGAAGCTTTAACAAATTTCAGATTTCCCGTCATAGAGTGCCGTTGTCGACATTCTGAAAAACCTTCAACTGTTCTTTTACAGAGATCCTGTACGAGTATTAATCGACTACATTTACAATTAATTTGCCAAACGATTTTTCATCGTTCGAAATGTGATATCAAAACGAAACGTGACATGTTTAATGTAAAGAGTTTGGGTTAGATTGATCTATCATCACCTACTTGCAGTTAAGTTGAATATCATGCTTCTTAATACTGTACTTGCGTCTATTTGATATTAAAGCGTTACAGGTGACGATCTATTGTAGAACTTATGCATGTACAACCAAGCCAAGCCAAGTCCCCCACTCACAGCCATTAAATGATTTTCTAATAAGAGCTCTGATGCGATCTTCTTATATTATATATATATATATTAATATCCTCCACATTTGACTTACTATTGTCATAGCTAATAATACTCCTGACTTGTAAACAAAGACATTATTGTACTTAATAATGATCTCATCAACACGTGTCCATAGAGATTTATTATTGAAATTAGCCATTGCACAGTTTTACGTAAATTCACTAAGTTTTTTGTTTACTACATGATTATAAATTTAACATTATGTCCGTAACATTTTGTAAGCTTTAGTCACGTATCATAATCGTGGAACATTGGTTAATGCATATTTTACCTAAATAATGTTCAAAAAACTATAGAGCAAATTCGCGTTAATAATTTGATCCAATGTTTTTACAAGAATTATCTATGAACACCAATTCGTACTAAATCGATAAACATGAAAATCTTAAAGTATGATGTTTTTCTAAAACTTATAATATAAAATTTAGACTTGGTAAATAAAATATGTGATTATTGATGGCCAAATTGATGTTACGTTAACACATTGGTCATGGTACGAGTATGAGTCGGTGACGAAACAGCAATGCTCAGCTCGATAACGACTTTCTACTTAAGTAATTAAATAATAAAATTGTATTGTGATTACAATTATTGTCCGTGCAACTAAATGAGTCTAACCGAAGATAAAGGCAACGATAGAAAATTACTCAAAACCCATACGCAACCGACCAAAACTAATTCACTGCGAACAAAACGGTTCTGAAGAAAATCTAAAACATTATCTGCCATGCCTTACAAGCCCGTTAAACTCGACATTAACATAACGTATTCATTTAAACCATGACATTTCACATTTTGTAATAAATGCTCTTTCCTACGGCGCATCAATTAAGAACCGAAAAAAATGTATAATTAGCTCTATTAAGACAATAAAATTCTTAATGATACCGCAACAGTCGTAATATCCGTGCGTTCGTGAAAAAAATATGTAATTATACTCATTATTTAAATAGGTTTTTTCGTCCATTACGGCATAGCTTTAATGGGCGGGCGAGTGAAGCCGCTATCTTGAATTCATTAAATCGATTGGATTCGGTAATCACCTAATTACGGCTCACGTGATTTCCAAGTTAAGAGTTTTAATGCGCGAACCGTGTATTTCTGATTATCCCAATCTGTCTAATTCACTCTAATTAGTGGCATACCCTCTGTAGAAGAATAACAGACGTTTAAAAATGGTAATGCTCTGAAAAATGCTAATGAAGTTGCGACTGCAGAGGTGTCGGGCTCAATCGCATAATATTAGCTTGAATAGAAAAATCTTTTCTGTGTTCAAAGCTTACGAATTAACGTCGGCTCAAATTATTTTCCTGTCAACGTAGCTTTACCGCGTTTTGAATATTTGTTTTATCTTAATGCGATGATGTTGCAAAATAGTGATCTGATTTGCATAAAGTGGCAAAAAAGTTTAAGAACCGGAAGCTTGTTTGATAGAACCTTAAACACCTGTGTAGTGATTAGCTTTTTATGCAGAACCATTAGTCAACGGATTTTAAAGGAAAAGTTGCTGTCATTGTGATGGTTATCTCACCCCATTTCTGTTTCCCTATTTCGAGTTTGACTAGCTTTAATAGCATAGCAACGAATCCGGAGGGTGAGAGAGGCAATGTTGCATATATATGGCATGTCAATATACCATCATGAAATGTAGTGAAGACCATACGTATGGATAAATCGGTAATATAAAGCATGGTCTTGTGGTCGAGACTAATTCTTAAAGTTGTCAACCCAAAAGGTTAACTGAATACTCGTTACAAGGATTCAACTGGTCTAATCGTAAATATTAACTGTTGTGTGAGTCAGGACTTTGACAATTAAAGCTAGATATTAAATGTGAACTTCAGAAATTAATAACCATAATCGCCAAGGGTGATCACGATCAGTGCAATTCCATTGGAACGTTGGGGAAATTAAATTGTGCCTTATTTATATTACCGTGATTAATGCCCCCCCATTTACATGTCTTATAAGCATACAAATCTCGTTGGAAACCCATGTAACTAGTACTAGAAATTACAAAATTAATTTATATACTCTAATTCAATGTAATATAGCAGGAATACTTCGAAAAATTATTTGTTCATCCTATTTGAATTCTAAATTGTTAACCGTTAGCTGTTATCGGTTTTGTGCCTTAGTTCTAGATTAGTAATTAGTAAGCCAGCAGAAATTGTGTAACTTAAAAGAAATCCAAAATATGAACATACCTGGCGCACTGACGCTTAAGTTCAGCGGCGAATTAATAACAGGGTTGCTGGGCATGGAGGTGAGCCCTTGAAGGTTGGCGGCTAGCTGCGACATTTGTTGCGACATCTGTTGCTGCAACTGCTGCGACATTGGAGGCATGTTCTGCTGCATGTTAGCTAGATTTTGCAGATTTTGGAACATCGCCACTGTGAACAAGGGTGTTGATATTGAAATGCGTTTCTAATTTGGATTATATTTTTAAGCGTTCTTGTCTTGACATATATCTATCTGTGTAGGTGTATTTTTATGTATGTATGCACTTTGACGTAGTTTTCATCAACTTCTTATCAAGGACGTCAAATTAATGGGAATTCATTTTGACATTTATACTTTTGTAAGAACTCTTACAATATAAGACTAAAAACAAGATAAAATATACGAGCTAATGAAACATAAAACAAAAAAGAAAGTTAAAACTAAATAAAACAAACCATTTGAAAAAGTTTAAACATAAATTTATTTCGATATTATGAAATTCCATGTGAATTCCAATTATTTTGTTTTTATACCTTTCATAAACATTTCATCAATTTCATTGGTAATACAACCCATAGTTCGATTTATGTCCAGGTCTCATACGATATAGGCGCTTCCAGTTCATTTTTTGGTTTAGATATTAAAGATTCTCACACACACATATTTTCTTGAAGGTTAAAAGCTGTTTTTTTACTTCGTTTAACTAATTTTTATATGTTCGGATTAACAAGACTAATGAGTATTTCAATAAAATTTCAAAAATAATATCTAAAGCCACATTTAGTTTATTTTAGATTACCCTTAGCATTCTTACATCCCAATGTATATATCTATATCATTTGAATCAAACAAACTTTACTAATAAAATATTATGACGTCATTATACTCAAAACAAATCGGCTATCGATGTTATCTGAATGAATGTTGTAACATAAAGCATAAAGGTGTTTGAAATTTAATAGAAATTGGTCATATACTTTGACTCTTCTATGTGTGGTCGCAATTATAAATAGCTTCACATTCAAATTGGAGACAGACATTAAGATGTTAACAAAAATAATTACTTTAAGGTATATTGTTATTGTTACGACTGTAATATCTTCGAAGTTTTAGATAAGTACGATAACGGATTGTGACCGACTCTCAATTTTTTTTTAAAGTTCTCTAATGTGGAGATTATGAATACTATGTAAACGTTGATATTATGCTATTAAATGTTTTTGGGTGGTTTCTGTATATTAAATATGTAATTTAATTTTTTATTTAACTGTAGTCATTTGAAATGACGTTTTACAAGAAAAGTAAGTTTAATCATTTATGGTCAAGGGTATCAAAAATGTGCATTTCCATCACCAATTTTCAGCAAGTTTTCAGTTTTCAGAAACAAAACTGTTCAAAACTCTCATCTAATATAATGTAGATAATAATAAGTTATGTTTGTTTACAATTCATATCTTTAAGGTTTTTCTATGCAGAGCTTTCTTCTACATTATTATATCGTTCGATTCCTTTCATTTTTCTCGTGATTATTTTACACTTGGTGGGGTATTAATGGTATAAGTATGAATGGCTAAATGTGTTAGGAATTCACCCTTTTTGCAAGTCCGTTGGAGCTTTTATAAGCTTAAGCTGAGAGCATAAGCTTCCATTGGAGCTTTGAGGTGAGAAATGTAGGATATGAACTTATCATATCAATTATGTAGGAAACTACGCAGGCCAACAGCACTACAAAGAGAAGGAAAACTTGACACAAACCCTTTTTTTTTTTTTTAACGTGTGGAAATCCCCTCGGACCGTCACCCCTCCGGGGTTTGCGGCGGGGTGGTGTGTCGGACTCGGACCGACTAAAACCACACGGTGTGCCACTCTGCGCCTGTAACAGGAGGGATCCGGGAACAGCTGTTGTTAAGACATCCGGACCCCTCCTAGCGCCAGCCCGCTCCTGGTGCGGGCTCCGTCTCAATATATTTTTCCTCTCTTTAGGCGACGTCCGGCACACGCGGACGCCGCCCCCTCGCGGCTGGCCAAACTAATGCGGGTGGAGGGGAGACCCACCCCTCCACCCGCGGCCACACTCAGGGCGGCATGAGGCCCTATACCAAACCCTATACCAACCCAGCATAGTAGGCCAAAACCTCTTTTCTTAGAAGAGGTCTATGTCCAGCAGTGGACTATTAAAGGCTGTTGATGATGTAACAAATAAGAGATTAACCCGTAGCTTTCGATAACAGTAACTATTAAGGTTCTAAATTCTACATTTAATTTATTAGTGTTAAACATAATAAATAGTGAATGTAGTACGAACTCACTGGAGCCATTCATGTGTGGCTGCTGATGCTGCGGGGTGCGGGCGCGGGGTGAGGGGGTTCGCGGCTCGGCTAACTGCGCGCGCGCCGTGCCCCCCTCCGGCGAGCTCGCGCCGCTCTCCCGATCGGACTCCGCCTGTTTAGAATAATGGTATACTTTAGTGTTATAGTTTACTGTGAAAATATGATCTTTAGTGACCACCCTGTAGGTTGTTCTTGATGGATGGATATGGAGTGGTAGTAAAGGTTTTTTGATTTTCTTGTACAAATAATTAATTTTAATCATTTATTTAGTCATAGAAAAGTAAAAAGGAAAGCCAATTTCTAAAGTAAATATTTAACAGTCTGAATAAATAGTACCTATAATCAAAATAATTCGCTTCAATATCGTATTTTTTTTAACATTAATTTTAATATTGCCGTGTGTGAGAAAAAAAACCAAGGCAACAACACAATTTGAAATTTTATGTTAAAACATATTAGGTTTGACTCCTTTACAGGCAAACTGTTTATAATATTTAAATATAAAGATTATTGTTTCGAGTGTTTCTTATTTAAATTTATTTTATCTATGAATATATAAAAAACACAATGAGCTACATATTTTTCTAAGTATTGCAGAATACTTTGAAATAATATATCTATGTATCAGAGCCCTGTGCCTTAAAACATTTATAGTAGTGCCTAATGTAGATACACGCATACGATATACCTACCTAAATATTTTTCATTTTATCTGGTCTTGAGAACATACTCGACATAATTAGTGTAAATATTTAATAATAAATGTTTTTATGTCGATATAAATTATATTAATCGCCCACGGCAATATAATGCGGAAAATCTTATTCCTATTTAATTTTATTACATAAAAATAAACTGCTTTATTCGTTACTCAGGCTTTAACTCGTAATTAATAATTTAATTACGGAAACCATCTTTTATTTCGATTCTTATAACACAACCATTGTGCAACTTGATAAGCAATAAAGTATTTATATTGCAATTATAATAAGTAAAGAAGAAGGTCAGGCTACTTGACTTTTAATTATTAAGTACTATTAAAATATAACTGTAAGGAAACGCCTTGAACGGTTAATTTATAATAATTATACCCGTTTGGAGCATGCTACATTTTCTTACAATGAAGCTATAAATATTTCTTCGTGATCAAAAAAGTACGTTCTGTATATTACCATTTGAATTATGGGCCCTGGCCGTTAATAAACGGAAATGTTTCTCAAATATTTCTAAGTATGATTGCGATAGAACTAATTTTATCTAAGAAAAAAGTATACATGAAGTGTATGAGACAATAAAAATACATTTCTATTAGTTCATTATAACAGAAACAGTTTTATTTTTAAGTTTAATTATTCAATTATTATGAAAAATTCCTTTAATTTAAACTTAATATTTCAGTAAGAAAATTATAGAAAAACTTCTACCGTTTGTGTCTCAATAACTTTCAAGACTCTTAGATAAATATTTATAAAAGAAGTAATAAAATTAATTAGAATAATTGAAAGTTTCATAGTTACTCACTAAAGATAATGTCATTCTCTCCACACCTAAAAATTTCACTGTTATTGTCTGTTTGTCAACATATTAGGCCACAACGTGTCCTTCAAACTTTAACCCGGTTTATCCAAAACTTTTCGAAAACTTCGAGGAACTTCAAATACCAAAGGAATGTTCGATTTCACTAAATTGAAAACATTTTATCCACACTCAGGATTTTACCGCGAAAAACTTTTCTTTACAATAAAAGTTGTAGTTAGAACGAAAAAATAGAGCACAGATAACGCCACGAAAAAGAAACACCGGGCACTATCGACAAAGCGTTCACGTTTTTTTTTTTAAATTTATTTATCAACGGCCGGTAACACATACAGCCGTGCGGCCAAGTTGCACAGCGCGGAATGAAAGCGCGTCATCAGTTTAAAAAATCAACCCCTTTGGTGGTGGGCGGAAAAAATGCGGCCCCGCGGGGTGTTTGGGTGGTCCCTCCGAAATCCTTGCCAAAGCGATCGGCATCGGCCCGACTTGTCACTTGTCGAATAAGCATGATAATTAAAGTTTTCGATTAGTTTTTTTTTCTTTTAGTAGAGCTTTCGGCTGTCTCATCTAAATTCGCTTTTAGTTAACTCGCTCAAAACTTTATTCGTTGTCATATTATTTATTAATATAGTAATTTATATTATTTATTTATATATAGTAGGCCAAAACCTCCTTTCTAAGGAGAGGCCTATGTCCAGCAGTGGACTATTAAATGATGATAGTAATTTGTGATGTAACTTTTTTTAAGACGTTTGTTATTTTATTGAATGGATAATTGACTACTTTTTTCGCATTCTTAAATTTGCACGATAATTAAAGGTGATATATTTTATTTCATTATGTAAAGGCGTCATTATAATTCGCTACGAAATATTTTTTTAATTAATGTTATGAAACCGAGATCGAAGTGGCGTGCAATGCGAGAGGCCTATGTCCAGCAGTGGACTGCTATGAGCTGATGATGATGATCAGTCACAGATATTTTAGCAGCTAATCTGTTAAATACCTTTCTAATTACAATGTTATCATTTAAATTTATAATCCAATAATTTATTCTACATTGAAAAAACATCATGAAATGAGCTTATTCGGTTGAATTTGTTGTTTCCGCAGAAGCTTGCAGGTTGATTACTCTCAGCGATTGAAAGTTGAATTAGAATCAGATGAATAACATTTATTCTAAATGTATTGACGCACATAAACATAGGGAACAAATTGAATACAAAAAAAGCTTAAAAGCACAATCAAAACTCCGCCGGGCGCTGACTAATGAAAAAAGTTGAAAAAAAAATTATCATCAACAAGTAACATTCGGAATAATCAGCGGTACACGGAAAAAATCAGTAATTATTCAGATGAAGTTGGACGAACGAAGGGGGTAAGGGGGCAAGGGCCGGCCAAAATAAAAACGGCGTTGCGTAGGGGTGACACCCGCGCCCCCCTCCTCTCTACAAATGTTATCTAACTGCGTTCGTTTCGCGTCGCGGCGCCGTTTCGCTCTGAATTAGCGCCCGAACCGGCGAAATTTCAATTTATACTCCATTTTTTCGCGGATAGTTGGTTCCTAATGGAAAAAGCTAGGCGACGCGAATTCCATCACGACTAGAGCAATGTATTAATGTTTTTCTAGCTAGTTACTTCACGTTGTTGTTGCAAAAGTTTGGTGTGAACCGTGAGCTAGTCGGGTTGTCCTACTGAAGAAGCGTGTGGCTGAACGGATCCTTCATAGGCGGCAAAGCGCGGTCATTATCGGCCGTTCGCGCACACACACGTCACATTGTCCGCTCGGGTGTGTGTGTAGATTTTTACTCATTAATTTTAAAACGCTCTGGATTTTTTTCAGGGCGGGTGCTGGGGGGCCAGCGTGGGCCAAGGGGGGGCGAAAATTGGCGATGGCCGCCGGGTGGGGTGTCACCGACGGGGGTTATTAAATAGATTGGTCCGCGGCCGAACGGAGCCGCCGATCTGCACTTGTACCTCGCGTCATTAACGGGTTGAGAACCGATTTTAAATCGTGAAATAACAGCCTGTTACAGGAAAAGTTGAGCACGGCTTATCGGCCTCTTCTGCTCGTGTTCTACAAGCTTAATTGCATTAAAAGTGTATTTTTATTACGACAAAATTTCTATTCATCATTGAAAAGATATAGTTTGTCTTGTCTCTTAATAAGAAGTCATTTTAAGTGTCACAGCACAGTGTGCGTCCTTGGTTCGTTAGTGGTGGCAAGTGTAGCAACAATACGCTATCATATAGGGACACGACACACACGCGTGAAGCTTTTTTTCGCGGACGTTCGGCAGTGGGTGAACGAGGGTGTCGTGGGGGGACGAAATGTGAAAAATACTCGAAAAAAAAGGCGAAATTGTAGCAGATATATAATTAAAGTCCAACGTACAGCATCAGCGTACGGCGATGTATTATGCAGACGCGTTCTCGGATGTCGCGAGTGGCCAATACACGGTGTACTGTGTCGAACACAGCGGTTGCGTCGCGACTGTACCGAATTGATATATATTAATTTGGTGGGGTGATTTCCTAGCATTTATGAGCGCATTTTTCTTAACCTTATCTAAGACACACGTCTTATTTGTAAATGTTCACTTTTACGAATGTGGTAAACATTCGTAAAAGTGAACATTTAATTAAATTATGACAGGCTTATTGGTCTTGTGGTCAGTGATCCAGTTTCCTAAGTGAGAGGTCGTGGGTTCGATTCCCTCTCAGGACAAATAATTGTGTGATGAGCACGATTATTTGTTCTGTGTTTTGGTTTAATTTATCTATAATGTTTATGAATTTAGGAATATTCAAGTACAGGCTCTGCCAAGTTTCGGATCAGGCGGCCGTGTGTGAGACGTGTGAGGTGAGGTAATAACTAAATAAGTATGTAAGTATACTCGTATAATGTATAGGTACAAACTTTGGTGATTCTAATATTTTACAATACCTAGTTTTTTTTTCAGTCGCACAATATCAATCGATAACAAATCTTTTTGTTTTTGTAACTATATAGAATAAGGTTACTATAGTCGAATCTACTTTAAACTTTAAAATCTTTATATTTCCTGAGCAAGTTTCCTAAACATTATAATTACATTAGCTTCCAAACAATTTCAAATCTTTGTAGAACACTTAAACACAAAAGCACTCAATAACAAAATAATCAAATTCATTGTAACATCGAGAGTAGATCTCGAAAATAAAACGGTTCGATGGGGGGTTCATACGACAGATGGTTAGGAGGGGGGCTCACGATTAATTTAACATTAAATTCAATAATAACCTTCCCATTTATTGCGTAATTTCCTTTCAATTACCTTTCATTTATAGCTCTGTAACCGGATTACGAATGTGATGAACGATCGAACGGTTTATGTCTAGTTCGCGTTACCTAGGTACTTACCTTTTTTTTTAATTTCGTAATATATATGGACATTTTAGGAATTAGGTACTAGTTACGTTAGAGTAGACTCCTATATGGTGTTTTCTGTGAGTCCATGTTAACAAAAATAATGTCCCAACTTATTAAACAGAAAATTTAAAAATAGAAGTTTGTGGCACCGGTCTAAGTTTTCAGACGTTTTAAGAATTTATATAGTTCTAAAATCACTTTTCACTATTGAGTAAATCACACTAATATTATAAAAACGAAAGTTTGTGTGTTTGTATTTTTGTTATTTATTCACGCTCAAACGGCTGCACTAATTTTGATAAAATTTTCTTATGTAGGTAGCTGACATCATGGATTACCACATAGGCTACTTTTTATCACAAAAAATGTGATCTTCTCATGGGTTTGAAGGAATTGAAATATATTTGCCACTATTTATAAAACGCGGGTAACACCGCGAGGCGCAGCTAGTATGTACATATCATATTGAAGTCCTACTTGTGCGTTTATCCTAACAACATGTCTACGGATTAGTAGCACAGATTAAATAACGTTTATCAGTACAGTAGTAGAAGAAAACTATTGATGAATGTTTTTTCGTTTCCTTGGAAACCACCATCGGCTTAACTAGCCGCACACTACACAACTAACACGGCTTAAAAGCACATGTACTGTGACAGCCCGGCGATCTATGGAATACCTGGTTATTTTGTTATAGTCTCTGAACTACTTACGAATTGGATCGTGGGTAAAGCACCCTGATTCCAGTAAGAAAGAGTTTATGTGATCTTAAAACCTTAGCAGAGGTAGTTATGGCACTCAGTTCATTTCCTGTGGAGCTTTTACTTTACGTAACTTTACGTATCTTCTTTAGCTCAAAATAGGATTTTTCATGAGTTCATTCTTCACCACATATGTACAAACAATCCCAATTATTTTATAATTTATTTTTTATACAATCAATCCTTATAACCCTCAAGCTTATGACACTTAACTGACGTCATAGGGATACCGATATTGAATCAACCCCCACGGTGTGGCGCGTGGGCACTCGATTCAAATGCTCGTGCGATTGTTCAATCATAATCGACTAAATTTAAATTTTGCGATTTACTATTGTGTTCTCTACTTAAAATTTTGATCAGCGATGCAATTAACGTGCACGTTTGTAATTATGATTCTTTTGTAATGCTCAAATAAAAGAAATTAGATTGCAGTTTTTATTGCATTTAAAGCAGGCAGCTTATTACTTATACGTTTCAAAACCAGTTTTATTGCTGTACATACAAAAAAATATATGTGATATTATAAATTACTTTAAACCGGATAAAGATCTATTCTTGAAGAGTGCTGAATAGATAAGGATTCCGTATAAATTAATTTTAAAGATTAATCAACATTCCCGTCAAAGCAAATAGCTAACAGTCGAAACACACTAAGTACACCTGTTCAATCAACATGGCGCATGTTGATTGAACAGGTCTGCAGTAGTTTTTCAGATATGCAATTTACTGATTTAAAAAAAAGAAGACATCTCCTGTGGGCCAGTCACCCGGTGGAAAACTGGACGAAAAAACACACAAATGTAGGCCCACGGATGGTAAATAGC